TGAAAAGATAGCTTTATTCCTTTTGACTGAAATCTCCAGATGTTTTGAGGCTGCCTTTTTACATTTCTCATGTGCAAATAATAAACAACTATTTTTAGATAGGCATTTTCTAACAAGAACAAATTGGGTTATCAGACTGCTTAGCTTTGCCAGGTACTGCTGGGCGCAACTGTGGTTTGAGAAACAAGTTACAAAAGTACTTTTATACCTTATAAAACAACCAAACGACCCATTCTCCTATTTTAATTAATTCCTGCATTAATGCTTATTTGTACTTTCATCTCAGTCACTACTACACATGTAGAACTTGAGTATATCTCATGCATATCTGTCTCCAGGATTCCTTCCCCTACAAAACCATTTCATAAGGTAAGTATTGGATGTCTGAATCTTTCAAAGCACTTTGCAGACATATAATAATTTCTCCCTCTGTGACAAATAATATTAACATGGAAAACCAAGGCAGAAGCTTGCCTAAGGTCAGGCAAAGATCAGTTAAAGAACTGAGAGTAAGGCTCCTGTTCTTGGCTCAGACTCGTGTTCTCCAAGTAGATCACAGTATCTTTCAAAATAGCTTCCCTTCCTCCACCCTTCGAAATGTGAGCTCTGGCTTTTGTCAGTAGCAGCCTGCATCTGTAGCAAAAAAAAAAACCCAATCAAACTAACCAAAAAAAACAACAAAAACCACTGCAACTGGAGACCAAAACATCTTCAGACAGCTGCACCCAATTGCTAACAATATTGCTATGGTTTGATGGTATCCTGCTACCAGACACACCCACCCACTGGATAGCAGGTAAAGCAGTCTGTGATCCATTGGAATGCTGCAGCCAGGGAAAGAGCTGAGGGATGATCCATGGGGACCTTTGCAACCGCTACAATGGGCCAGTGTGAACACAGATGTCTGTCAGCACTTGGGCCCTTCAGAACTGCTGAGAAAACTGGAAAGGCACTGGGCATTCTTGACAAAAAAGGAAAAAAAAATGATGCTGTTAGAGAGAACTCAGTGTGTGAAATTTCTTAAATCACTGATTGCCAAGAGTATTTAGTGCTAATCTCTTAATGCTGGAGAAGCGTTGCTGCGGTTCTCCCCAGTAAACAATAGGACCTAGATTGCCCTCCCGAGGCCTCTGGCCTTTTATTACAGCCCACACAGAAAACTCATCTGAGAAAGCCCTCTTGAGTTAGTGGAGCAAACTCTGAACCAGTCTGAACCAGTTCAAATATCACATACGGTTGTTTTGCTTCTGCAGACTTCCTTGTTAGTCCTTGGAGGCTGTTGCTGGCATTTACTTAGCAATAGCTCATGCTGTCAGACTGAAGGGGGAGGAGAAAGCCTCTCCTTGAGCATGTCAGCAGCCCGATGCAACAGTGCCAGCAGATAACTCCTGTCGCTCCACACCGACTCTTTTGTAGTAACTGCCTCTCTCTTGAATTTTTGGTTATACTTGGCTCAGTTTCATAAAGTCACTATCTGATCCTTTTATTACAGCCCTGATGTTCTTCTATTATGTTCAAATTGTATCTAGGTTAGAAATGAAACATTTCCAACTCCTACGTCATTGCTTACAGAAGGCTTTTTACAGTGAGACCCACAGTTGTTTTCATGATCAAGAGAGAGGTAACAAGGAAATAAAACCCCTGCTTTTGTTGGAGTTGCAAGTACTCAAGCACTTAATAGTGTTTAGTAATATTCGATGCTTGGAGCTTTTTAAGCTTAAGTACAAACTGCTTGAATATTCTGTTCCTGGTGAGGTCTCAGAATTGTACTACCATTAGTCTCAAGCATTTCCATTTATGAAAGAAGCAGAAAATTGAGAAAAATGAGTTTTGGGCAAAACTGGAACAATTATTTTGGTTACCTAGGAAGAAGAAAGGGGAGATTATGGGAACATGACGTATGTCCTGTTAAAAGGAGGGCAATGGTCAACTTTTTCCATTTTAAGCAATCCATGTTAATTTGGCTAGGAAAGATTACTCAGATTAGAAAATTCATTTTGTTTACTCCCCTCAGTGTCTTATTTACTAAGGTTAAGTAACAAAGCATGTTAGTTCTTGCATAGGAGGTTAGATGAACTGCCTGGCAAGATCTGAACACACTTGGCTATGGCCAGAGAAGGAGGGTGGGTTTGATGGCTTCTTGAGGAGTCATTCCAGAGCCATAGATCTGGGGCTGCCTCCCTTGGCATGGAGTGCTGTGCTATATGCTAGATGCTTTTTGTTTCTGTTTATTTTTAATAAAAATCTCAAAACACTTTGAATTTTTCCACAGGTGAAAAAGTAGAACAAACAAGAAAGAGCAGCTGACAGACAGGAGAGAGAGAAAGCAGACATTGTTCATTCTGGAACCTGTATAAAGAAAGGTAGCAGCTCACAGCTGAAACTGGTTCACACTGAGTTTAGGGAGAATGCTTAATGTCCCTTATTCCTAAAAATAGAGTATATATTCTCCTGTAAAACGTGGGGATGTGTTATGATACATGTACGTATATATACCTACAGACGTCTAAGTGTAAACTATGTGAAGTAGTAGTTGCAAAGCTATTAACTTACTTATAGTTTGGGTAGTTTAAAATCAAGTCGTAGGAAATAATGTCAAGTTTAATCTCTGAAAGTGTAATAAGAAGAGCAAACCCATTCCCAAGCAGCAGAAAGAGCAATTGAGTCTGCCTCTGACAGCTGCCACCTGGCATCCTATTAAACTTAATTCTGTGAAACTGCCAGGCATAAATCTTCCCTCATCCTGGAGAAAGCTAGAGATGAAAGAAAAAATTATGCTTAGAAGTCAGTTGTGGGAAAGACTTTGATCTTTACCATTAATGTGGAGGTTTTTGCATTTCTCCCAGATTCCCCATTGTCCTTCTGTGGACTAGAAACTCAAATTGTTTGCTGGAACTCGGCTGGGTATAATGAGAAGTGCAAATTTATCTTGTTCCATAGTAGGAGAGAGAGTTGAGAAGGTCTGAGATTTGTTTCCACAGAGATTACTGCAGTTCTTGGATCAATTTGTACAGAAGGAGGTGCTTTCTGTGCTGGGTGGCATGGAAGCATTAGTATCATGAAATGAGCAAAAATAAATTAATTGTGCAGGTTGGCAGTCCATCTGCAGTTTTGGACAGGCAGTGCCTCTGGATGCATGTGTGGCCTTGCACTTTCTGCTGAATGGAATTTGTCCCATAAAATCTGTGATGAAGAGCTATTACAAACAGGCAGCTTGATTGAATAGCCCTTATTAAAAATTCTTGCTGACTCCAGTTAGCCTTGCCTTTACAGAGAGTAACTGGAGAGCATTAGGAATGCAGTAACAGGGTGTCTGTGCAGACAATGAGTATAATGGCACAAAGGCTGCATCTTAGCTGGTGATGTCAGTAGCACTGGCACATACAGTTGGTTTTTGGTTTCCTGTTTTGATTTTTTGCAACCATTTTTTTTTAATCTGACATTACTAAACTAAATTTTCTGTAGTGGTAAATCATGTTGTTAAAGCGTGAGTCACACAAATGTGTGCTAAGACCTGTGGTTTCATACTTGGCGGTAGTGCTGCTTAATTGACCAGTTCCCTCATTACCCATCTATCATGCTGGTACATCTATGTTTTTGTGGCTCCAATGTGGACTGGATGCAGCAGGTGACCTGGCTGTAAAGGGCTTATAGTGTTCATGACCTGGTGGAAAAGGAGCAAAAGTTGGGTTAGGCCAGAACCTTGCACAAGTTTGTTATACAATTACCTGTAGCTGCCTGACAGAGAGCACTGCCAGGATGGAAACATCTGGGAGTGGAAGGGAAAGACCACTGCTCCAGACAGGACTGCCTTAAAAAGTGATTCATCAAACACTGAAGCAGCTTTCCTGGCATAGAAATACTTCTTATGTGTTCAGTGGTTTCCATGTGATTTCAAAAAACTTTAAAAGAAGGGAACTTCCCTGTCCTGTTCTAAGAAGGAAGGTTTGATTGTACCTCATGTAACAGAAAGGAAGGGAAGGCACAAAGAAGTGAGGCAGACAGGTTGGCCAAGGTCAGGAAGAACTCTGTGGGAAAGCCAGAAATAGCACCTTGTGCTGCTGGCCTGTGCCTTGGCTACAAACCCATCAGTTTCCCAGGCTGCCTTTGCAAGTTCATTGTTGAACATGACCAGCTATTCAGTGGCTTGCTTTTCACTGGTGTAAAATAGAAACAGTGCTGAGGACTCCAGATGCTTGTGTACAGGCACTGGAACTGCACTGTCTGAAACCCTTGGCATGTTCAGAAACAGAAGTATCTATTGTAAGCTGTGTGAAATGTCTGCAGAGAGGCTTTATCACAGTGGCTGGATGCCTGCAATACAACTACTCTAAACCATCTTCATGCCATTTACCTTGTTTTTTTTCTATAAGCAGGCACAGCTCTTAGAGTAAGTACATGGAGTCAGTGAGAAGTAATGGATTAGCAGAGGCAAGAATATAAGGTGGAGGTGCACAGCCTCCGTGGCAGTATGTAACCCCCACAACTTCTCTTTAGAGCTAAAAGGGAACCCAAAGGCAGAATAAGGACAGCAGGATTTAGTCCTTCGTGATAATCCTCTAGGAGAGAGAGCAGTTTTAGGTCTCTGAAGATAAACACTTTTCCTGCCACAGGCAGTGGTTCAAGCGTAGTTCCGTGTGGCAAGTCTCCTCTTCTGGTCTAAGACTTTTCCTGCGACTGTAGGAGAAAAGCACAGGGACGCGGAGTTCTCGAGCCAAAGAGCCCCGGGGCACCGAGCACCCAGCGCCGTGCTCGGTCCCGGGGCCAAGGACCCTCTGCGGCAGCAGGCTCCCGGCTGCCCCAGCCCTGCCCCGCGGCAGCCGCCCCTTCCCCTCCTGGGGGCGGGCGGGCGGCGGCGGCAGCGTTAGGACCCGGCGGCGGCTGCGGGGCGGGGGGGGAAGCGCAGCCCGGCGGTTGTTTACCGGGGAGGGGAGCGCCGGGGCAGGTCTCGCCGCGGCGCCGAGCGGAGCCGAGCTGCGCGGCCGGGCTGGCGGCGGCTCCTCGCCCTCCGCGCCGAGGATGCTGCGCGCCGTGCTGCTGCTGGGCTCGCTGCTGCTGGGGGCCGCTCGCGGCGCCGAGGGTGAGTGGCGGCCCGGCTTTGTGGGGGACAAAGGCCGGTCTCGGGAGGGGGAACACCCCCGCGGGGAAGGCGGGGGCCGTGCTGGGGAGCGGCTCGGAGCGGTGGGGGCTGCCCGGGCCGCCCGCAAGGCTCGGCTCGTCTCTCCGCAGAGTGCCTCCGCGGCAACGGCGCGTCCTACCGCGGCAGCCGGCAAGTGGCCTCCGGCGGCGCCCCGTGCCTCAACTGGCTGACGGTGCGGAGCGGCCCCGGCGCCGCGCTCCCGGCAGGTGGGTCCGGGGGACGCGCCGGGGGGGGCTCTCGGGGGAGCGGAGGGAGCCGCGGCCGCGCTGACGGCCCCGCTGCTCCCTAGCAGTCGATGAGGACCACAACAGCTGCAGGAACCCCGACGGGGACGCCGCGCCCTGGTGCTACATCCAAGGCGCTACCGGGATCCCCGAGCGGCGATCCTGCGACATCGCCCAGTGCTCAGGTAAGAGCGGCCGCCGCCGGCCCCCCTCTCTTCCTGGCCTCCCTGCTGCGGGGGGCTTGCTTTGTCACCAGGGTGGGGTCCCCCCCGAGCACAAACAACCCCGGGCTACGCCAGCACCTCCCTCGGAAACATCGCGTACCCAGGGCTCCCCTCCAGCCCCCGCCTGTGTGTGCACATCTGCCTCCCAGCTATGCCGTGCTCCGCCCCTAGAGCTTTTCCATTAGTGCCAGAAGAGGCCTGTGAAAAGCCCCCACTCCCCCGTAATTCACTTATCACTATAGCGCTCTCTAGCCGTGTTGCAAAAGGCTGAGGTCTGGACATCTAGGAGCTGCTGAGCTGTGGGTAGACTGTTGCTGTGGGACATGTTACGGCTGACTAAAGAAGCTTCCTGCCGTTAAAGGATTGCCAGTGGGAATTTGAGTGTGGGGTGCAGGGGAAGAACACGGAAAAAATGAGAACTAGAAGGGATGACAGTAAGAAATGGAAACACTGGCATCCTTCTGGATAGTCACAGTGAGAAACAGTTTGCCAAAAGAACGGTAGCTGAAGCCTGTTTCAGGGAGAGGAGGTGTTAGTATTGACTGACACCAGAGTAACCACTTGGGGTTTTTTGAACTGTTTACTACTTTCTGAGCCCTGCAAGATTTACTCACACCGCTATCCCTCGAGACTGCTATCCTTGAATGTAAATACTTTTCCCACGCCCATACACCCTCCCCTTTTTTTCACTTTGCTCTTTTTCACTTTGCCTTCTTTTCACTAAAGATGAAGCAAAAAAAAAGTTCTGCTGCCAAGATCCTTACTCAAAACACTCTTGCAGCTTTAGGTTCAGAAGAGTTATCTGACGTTTCAGCCATTTGCATGTTTAATAGGTTTCATATTTTTGTGTCTCAGGGTGGGGACCTCTTCATGGCCCAACAGTTCAGATTAGTTCAGTTGTCCTGGCTGACCCTACGTGAAGTTACTGTGCAGGACCCCTGATTTCCTGTCTCTGACTCCCTTCTGTTACTTCCATTTCACATTCCACTGAGGACTCAAAATGGCTGCAGATAGAAAATCCACATGGAGTTACTGCCTGCTGTGGGGAGACATGCAGGTGGAGTGAGTTTTCAGGTGTGGATGCATACTGTGAATAGCATTTCCAAAAAGGAGGGGGTTGTGTAGAACAGGAAATAGATACCTACTTTCTTGCCTTTCTTACCTGCTGTCACAGCTTTTACAGTGCTCCAGCTTCCATTTAAACTATGTCATGAGAGAAGGAGCTACCTTGAAAATCTTTCAATGCTGTTGACTAGAAAGAGCATTGATAAAAAACAGGGCTGGGAAGGAACCTGTATCCTTGGGTGCTTTTTCGGGGCCTTGGCTGAGGAGGAGCTTGTCCTTAGTGGCTGTGCTGCCTGAGGGCTGCTCTGACTTAGCCTGTCCAATGGTATCCCAGACTATCAGAGTTTAGTACACCACTGCAAAGAGGGGCCAGGGAAGCATATCCCCAGGTTGTTTTCATACCAGCTGGAGTCTCCTGTCAGACTTTCCTGTGTCAGGAAGATTGAGGCAGAAGAGAGATAAATAGGCTCCTGGGAGATTTGGGATGGAGATTCTCATAATCTTGCTCACATCTGTTCAGCATGATTGAAGCTGCAGCCTGTATATCGATCTATACACTAAATGAAGTCATTGTGCATCCTCTGGACTCGCGCCCTGAACCTGGGTTTCATTCTGCTGTCTGACTTCTCTCATCTGTGGTGGTGCCTTGGACTCTTAGTTAAATAGGTTCACGTTAAAGGAAAGTGGGGGAAGGAGTACGTTTCTCATCTGCTTTGGTAGAATTTCTGGCAACAACTTAAGGGGAAACAAGTGTTTTTCAGGGTGCTTTGAAGGCAGTTCAGTGATACCAGTCTAGAGCTGTCTCACTCCCAAGGCACATGTTGTTTTGAAGCACTCATAAATACTTGGTATGTTGTGTATATATATATATTTTTCCCCACTCTCAACAGATGCTACAGCTACCACAGTCCCAGTGCCTACAGCAGAAGTTGGTACATCCCAGGAGGATGAGCAGGTGTTTGAACCAGCTGATACCTTGCCCTCCCGGAGCGAGGCAGCCGCGGTGCAGCCCGTCATTGGCATCAGTCAGAGAGTACAGATGAACTCCAAAGAAAAGAAGGACTTAGGGACACTAGGTACAAACCCAGAATCACGTGATGGATCCATTCCTGTAATTCTGGCAAGACAGACCTGTTTTGAGGCTCTGAAAGCAACATTATAGCTGGATCTGCTACCTCTAATTTAGGCTCTTTTTTTTCTCTTTTCACAGGTTATGTGCTGGGGCTGATCATGATGGTGATAATCATTGCCATCGGGGCTGGCATTGTCCTGGGATACATCTATAAGAGGTAAGTGGCTGTTTTGTGTTCAAAAACTGGTGTTTATAGAGCAGGAATGTCAGAGCATCAGATCCCAAGGAAATGGGAGAGAAGCATGTGTTTGGTAATGGCACATTGAGCAAGTTTGCTTGTCACACTGAGGAAAGAACTACTGAACAGTTAATTCTGTTCTCCGATTTCTGCCATTGTTATATTCTGTCTCACTTAAAGTTTCAAATTGCCCTCTTTAATATTTGTGTGTGCATGCGCATCTTGATGTGGCTTTTTCAGATGTATCCAGAGGAGCTGGATTTTGTCAGTACTGGAAAGAGCAGATCCCAGGTGCCCTCACAGGAAGTTTCTTTTGATCAGAAAAAGAACAATCCTTCTAGCAGGCCACCTGTTCCCCTGATTTCTCTAGTCTATCTTTAGAAGAAAAACAATTGGCAAATTTTATTTTGCTATTCATGCATTGTATCCTATGAAGCTGACTATCAGGTAGCACATTTTTTTTTTGGTCAAAGTTAATTTTAGCAAAGCTCCTGTATATTTTAAGGTCAGTTTTGATTTGGACTTCAGTTACTATATTTTCAGGCACTTCACTCTGTTGGACAGAAATGTTTCTGTAGCTCAGCAGCATTTGAGGGTAGTGGCAGTAGAAAGCTGCTTAGTTGTGAGAGGGCAGGATTAACAAATAGCAGTGATTGTCACTGCAGCAAGCAAAGGGCCAGGCTCCCTCCTCTGGGAGGGTTTGTTCTATGTTTTGGCTGTTTGACAACAGTCTGACACAACCAAGCAGAAGGAGCCCTTTCCCAAGCTGGGACATGTCCTTATGTAAGTGTTTATAATAAATGCTGATAGAAAAAAAGCAGAGGGAGGAGTGTTACATAAGGGGCAAAACACAGAGCACTGCTTGTCGAGGAATTTGAGGTGTCACTTCAGAGAATGCTGTCTTGTGTGCTGGCAGGAACGGCAGCCACTGCTGCACGCTTGTAGGCAGCTTTGAAAAGCAGCCAAAACGCTGACAGGAAACCCCAGCAGCTTTGCCTGCTCGAGATCACGAGCCTCAGGAGGAGTGAGTGGTGCCTGTCCCACCTCTCTCCTATCCTCAGCAGGAGGAAGCAATAGACCAGTGCTGGGCTTTGTCCAAATGCAGTTTTGTTTCTCCAGTCACAGAGAGCTCACAGCAGGGCTGTAGTGCAGGTTTACTGTCTCCCTCCTTGCCTTGATCTCAAAATTGCATGTGCAAGCTGGCAGGTTTGGGTAGTAGGTGTGGTGAGAAACCTTTAATGGGTTTAGTAGTTTTTGATATACATAACTCTTCTGGAGACAACATGCTATTAATGCCAAATCCATTTTTAAAGCAAGGCAGTTCTTCTGCAGCACAAATTACAGAGGTGTTCCTTCCCTTAGCAACAGGCTGGAGACTGAGGTGGGTTTGAGGAGCTGGTTGTGGCATTAAGCTGTTATAACTACAGTGACAGAAGATGAGGCCAGCTCTGAAGTCAACTTTAATACTTTCTGGACAGCTTAATTTGCTGCAACAAAAGGCAGAAGCTGTCACCACCTCCAGCATTTGTTTCAGATGAAGCAGGTTACAGAAGCTCTTTTCCACAGCAGTGGCCTCTGCACTGTCTCACTTCTCCCCGGGGCCTGCACCAGGCAGTGCTGTGGGACTGTAAAGGGTAAGAAAACATATGGCAGCTTTGTGGTTTGAAGGAGGGGCCTGGCTTTACAGTAATTTATCAGCAGCAATGTCAGTGAACAGGCCAGTTTAAGAAGGATGGACTTCACTTGGCTTGTCTTTCAAAGATGCTCAACTGTGGTCCTCTGCTTACAGTGGGGAATATTTCTGGCCTTTTGCATGCAGCCAAAATCTTTGTTTATCTTAAAGAGCAGAGTCCCT